AGCATGCCTTTTCATTAATCAGATCACCAGGCCACATCCAAAATGTTTCTTGTTAAGCAGCAGCCACATACAAAACACTGTTACAGAGGTTCTCCCGTCGGCATAGTTAATCCACCTCCTCAAGAGGTGGTAGCTAGTTCAACAACACCGGGGGTTAGGTCGCCTTAAGTCCATCGCTCAGTGGTGTGGCTTTTTCACATCCCTGAGTGACATAGCTGGGTTGATCTAATTTTTGATACCAGCTGATAGTTCTAGTGTAATTCCTTTTTATAACTCCATACTTGTTTTAATTATTATATATGAGATAATAATGCATGTTACATTTTATGTGAAGCCACTTAGTGTCTTAACAATCTGCATGACCACTTAACGGAAACAGCAGCAATTTGTTACAATACTTTAGGCAGCTAAATAAATATTTACTGGATGAGAATCTTTCTTTGTAGAGATATCCACCAATTTTTCAGCATTTCCATTTAGGTCCCAATTCTGCCACCCTTACTCACATTGACTCTGGTCCTGTTGGATTATTTAGTCACATGTGTAAAATTACGTATGTGTATGAGTGTTTGCAGATTTAGGACCACTGAGTAGTACCTTACTCCATGAGAAATCCCAGAAGGCACTACTGCTTGTGAGTAAAGATGGAGGAATCTGGCCCTCCATGAATAATGCTGTTGTCTCTCAGTGGAGCCTGCCACTTTAGAATATTTCCCAGCAGGGGAATGGCCAAATTGATGATGCAAAATAGGTCTGAAACAATTGGGTATATCATTAGAAAATGGCAGAAAGTTTCAAAGTTCCTGTAACACAGGTCCTAACATTTTAAAAACACCTTTTAGTTAATGTAAAAATTGGTTTAACAATTAAGTTGGTATTTGTCTTCTAAACCTACCCTACAATAATTTGAATACTTTCTGATTTTTAACTGCAAGGCTGATTCTTTTCACTCCTGCTTTGCTTCTTCAACAGCCTGATAAAAGCCCATTGAAATCAATTAAGAGACGCCTACCGATTTCTGTCCCAAGTTCTCAAGATGGGGCTTTTCCCATCTGATGGTTAATTATTCATTTTGAAGGTGCTTCAGACACAAACTCTTCTTAGTGATTTTTTTTCTTCTCTGCGATTTGTTGCAGTGGTTGGAATTTTATATACATTGCAATGTATGCATTCCTTTACTTGGGAACCTTCCCAGGGAACAGCTCCATTGCAATGAACTCCAGTGGCTCTAGCCAATGGACACATGGCACACCTGGTATGTCTGTGCACCTATTCCCAGTAGTTAACAAATGTGAATTGATATTTGCTAGCCTAAGTTTATTGTACCTCTTTTTCTATGCTTCTTTTGCTTCATGAAAGACTGATTCCCTGCTCTGCTGTGGCTACTAAAATTAATCAGCCATCTTCTGTTTTTTTTTTTTTTTAAATGTTTTAGGGCACAGTTATGCAAGATGCTGAATCAATGAGAGCTGAGGGTGCTGCCACCTTGCAAAACGAATTTAGCAATTTCCATGATTAGGACTTTTGACCATGTTTATTTTCAGACTCACTCATTTATCTAACAGCCTAATGCATTCCTGTAAAATATGTGAAAGCTGAAACAATTGGTCTCTAGATATCTATAATTATAATGGCCCCCATTACCATAGTATCTGTAACCCTCACAGACTTTAATAGCTTTATTAAATATATGATAGCTCAGTGGTATATTTCTATTTCCACTGGGGAGTGACAGTTAAACAGATTCTACTGTTTTTAAAAGACTATTGAAACTAGTGGGTTAACAAAATGACCTACTTGGCTGCCGTGGTTAAAAATATAACGCCTAGCACTAATACCATTAAAGTGCATGTATGTTAAAAAAATGTGCACTCCACAATTATGCTCCACTCTAGTGAACACTCCATGAGTCTGTCCCTTTTTAAGATATTCCTGTAACAGCTGGCAATTCTCCATCCACGGAAGCTGTTTTTTTAATCCCGTTTAGGCAGAGTGATCAGAAAGCCAAAATGTGTCCATTGTTTGCTGTACATGGAAAAAAAGCTTTTGCTAAGCTCTTGAGTGGCCAAGCAATACAGAGTGCTTGCCTATAACAACACTCCAAGGATTGAATCCATAAAATAGGTTTCTAGGACAGTGGCACATAGACTATTTGCCAGCATTTTTTCAGAAAGCATAAGCTATTTCATGGACCACTAATTTTTTTACTGCTTAAAATTACTTCTGCACTAAATCCAATCAAGGCACTAAAGGGGCAGAGACAAATATCTTTTCATATAATTTATCACATTTTGTTATTTTATTCGATGTTGGTTTAGGGCCTGAGCCAAAACCCACTGAAGTCAATGGAAAAATTTCCATTGACTTCAGTAGACTTTGGCTCAGCCCTTAAATTCTTTTGCCAATCTATAATGGCCCAGAAGCCAAGATGGCTTTTTAAAAAATAGTTTTTTGTTGTCATGCATGTCATTTGTGATGCTGCCTATAACGTGGTGATGGCTGCGTTATAAATTATAACAGAGACAAATATACAGATGATATTAACAATAGAAATGGTCAAGAGTTTTTTGACAAATCACTTTGTTGGAAAATGATGATTCATCAAAACTGAAACTTTTTGCAGGAACGTATCTATTTCAACAAAACTTTCTCAGGTCCAAGTTGGAATTAAACCACAGGGAGAATGAATAGTCTAGTGGATAGAATACCTGGGATGCCAGAGACCCAGGCTCAAGTCCCTGCTTCACCTGATTTGTTTCAGGAATTGAATCTACATCTTCCAACATCCCGAGTGAAGGTCTAATAACCACTGGGCTACTGGCTATTCTTGGAGGAGGGGGGGGATCCTCTCACCCCCAAATTTTTTTGAAATATCTAGTATTCATTCCAATGGGTAACAAAATAAAACGTTGAAAATTCAAAACTTTTCACACACACAAAAAAATAAAATAAAAAATTGAACTCTTGTTTTCTGGCCATCCGCAGTTCTGGGAACAGGGTTTGCTGGATAACTTTGCAGCAGTTTTGCTAGGTCATGTTCTGGCAGTGGCCTTTGCTTTAAACATTTTTCAGCAACTGTGGTATATTTTAAAACACAAATACATATGAGAATATCAGTATGTGCTACAGGAGATATAGAAACCCACTTTAAGGTATTGTGACTATGAGGTAAGTATCCCTTTAATATCTAAAAAAAGATAACATTATAAACAAGCCTTTTCAAGATCACTGCAAGACTCTCTTAATTATTGGTTTTAAGGAACAAATATTCAAGATAGTGGGGTGAGGAGGGGCAGTGTGGTCCAGTAAATAGGACACTGAACCAGGTTCTATTCCTGGTTCTGCCATAGACCTGCTATGTGACATTGGGCAAGTTACAATCATGTGTGTGTGTGTGTCAATTTCCCATACACCTCTACCCCGATATAACGTGACCCGATATAACATGAATTTGGGTATAATGCAGTAAAACAGCGCTCTGCGGGGTCGGAGCTGCGCACTCCGGCAGATCAAAGCAAGTTCGATATAAGACGGTTTCACCTATAACGCGGTAAGATTTTTTTGGCTCCCAAGGACAGCGTTATATCGGGGTAGAGGTGTACCTGTAAAATAGGGTTAATAATACTTAAGCTTTTAAAAAGCACTAAAGTGCCTTAGGTGCTGCCTACATCCCATTGACACCTTTTGGCACCCCTGATTGACTTTCATGACCCCCACAACCCACTCGCTGAGAAACACTGGTATAGATAGAATGGCCCAAATTCGCTCTGCTACATGCTGTTGTAATTTTGTGGGAATAATATGTCCGTTCAGAGAAGAAAGTCCTGACTGTGTAGTTAGAATATAAAGTTAGAAATCAAAGATGTGGACAACCAAATAAAAATAATCAGAAGACTCAAAATAAGGGATGATGATGATGATGTAAATTACTTTTCTTAGTCTTACAAATGTTGTAACTAAATAAAATTCTAGATAAACTTAGTCCTGCCTTGAATGCAGGGGACTGGACTAGAAGACCTCTCAAGGTCCCTTCCAGTCCTTTGATTCTATGGTTCTATGAAAAACAGCATTATCCAGTGATTCAATCAAGTCAAACATCATAACATGAATAGCGAACCCTAATCATGCCACTTGGTTAGAAATATTTCTTGTGATTTCACTGAGCAGTCGTGTCTGCAATTTACCCTAACAAAACTTACATAAACCATCATAGCACTCCTGAGAGTTATCTGATACTCCTAGACCCAAATTAACTTTACTGACTTAAATTGTAAAATTGTAAATCTTTTAATTATTGTTTGATTGCCCACACTTTTGATTACTAACTCTACACAGCATTCCTCCAAGCCATGCCTCCATTTCTGAAGGCCATATTATTTCCAGGAATTACAGTATTGTGATATTGGCTGTTACACGCTGGCTGATGCTGGGAAAATCTTCCTGACAAAACCAGGGTGCAGAATACATAAATGCCAATCTCCACAGTGATAGGAAGGGGAGTTAAGTATTTCAGCCTTAGACTATCTCCAGCCCCCAACTGCCCAATTTCCAGATAAGGACCCCCAAATTTTCTCCAGTTTATGCCTTCAGTCCTAGCAACTTTCCATTACAACCACTAGTCTTCTAGCTGAAGAAGACTGACAGGTTTTGCAAAGAATCCCATTCAATACCTCTATTTAATAAGGCAGATTGGTCACTGTTCATCAGTAAGGCAATCCCTCCTCTGTCCTTGTCCTCAAATCACCCCTGGACATAGCCTATCACTGGGTTTAATCAGCTTTCAGTACTGCCAGTAAACATCTTCATTTTGAACAAACTGCAATTGGTGCTAGCGTTTGCCTAATTGCTATACTGCCTTGTGACCACAAAGAATCCTGAGGAATGGAATGAAATCACCTTTCCCACTGCTTCAATGAAAAGGAATGCAGAATCTTTAAAATATGTTGTACTTAAGGGGGGGGGGAATCAAGCCACAAGAAAAGTCCATGATCAGAGCTTACCGACTTGTATGAGAATTGCAATGCATGAACCAGCTGCGGTTGTTGTCAACATACATGGCCCACGCCTTGTCGTCCTTTCCTAGCATCATGTCCTTGACCACATTAATTCTGGCAATTCCAAAAGCCGGATCTGGATGGTTATCATAACGATCCACATGCAGTTCCCAGTAATGTACTCCCTTGGAGAAGGCCGCTGTGCCCAGAACAACACGATCGTCATAACTACTACAAGTGGCAGTCTGGTTGTCATTCGATAGGACTATGTCCCGATGGGCTGAAGAGGGGTCAAAGGTGAACCAGGCCACTGTGCAGGAAGAATAAAGGCAGCTCAATAGCAGGAAAGGATGCAATAAAATTTAATTGTGCTTTATTTTAAGCACGTTTCTGCCCTCCTAAATTCCCACCATACTTTCAAGTGGAGAAGATATTCTTTCCTTGTTCTAAACTAGTCTGTTTCACCTCAGAGATGACTGCATTTCAGTCAGAGGAGAAAAGTAAGAATGCTTTATGTCATTTACATAATCAGTAAAATTTGCAATGCATTTTTCAATCTATTTGGATGAAAGGTGCTATATAACTGTAAACCAGCCAATGTGTTTTGTCCTATCTGGGTTTGTCTTTTGGGATGTAAGCTCCCTGAAGAAGTGTCTCTGTTTGGGTCTGGTACATTGTTGAGCAAATTACTACTGCACAAATAAGAGAAAAATAATTTGGCTCTGGACTTGCCCAAAGTCTGGGGCTGTTCAGATGTGGGATTTGGTTCAGGCCTGTCTCTACTGGAATTACTGTTTCATTGTGTGTCCAAGCTCATCATAACTGGGTTTCACTTCATTTTAAAAAAATTCTTTACATCTAAATATTTTATACTGACATATTTTGACAACACTATATAAATACAGAGCATGATTATGGTATTTGCTTCAGGATTAATTTACATTATTATTAATCAAGATTAACTTCTTGTGATGCCCATATGGATGTCAAGTGTAATTAGATGGGAACACAGCATGAATTACCACCCAAGTCTTATCAAACACTCTTGTGAAATTAGTATCAGTAGTGAAGAAAACACTGAAACACCAAAGACACAGAGAGAGAGGTGGAGACGAGGAGTGGCATATAGATATTCACAGTGTGTAGTGTAAATGACTATGTACTCTAGAGCAAACACGATTTTAATTAAACCTAAAGCCTTGACAGGCAAATGCACTTGTATCATTTGAAACCTGAAGAGTTGCCAATAACTAAAACATGCCAAGAGTCTAAAGAGCTGGATTTTATTTTTCTTTTATCATTTTTGAGTATTTGCGGCAGGGGAAAGGCCAGGGCTGGATGGAGAACCTCAGAGACTGCAGGCTTGATTTTCAATGAGGGCACAACATAGCCGCCGGCTACGTGCAGCTACAGTTGCACAAGTTCTTTCCCAGCACTAAATCCTGTGCATGTACCCAACTGACCCTAACTGTGTGTGCAAGTGGTAGACTCCACAAATCTGCACACACATACTACTGCTGGAAAGTGTGCACATGGAAATCACATGTACACTCACCAAGGCCAAGGTCTGCTAAAGGGGATCTGATATCTTCTATTTATCCACAGAAGGAGCAGCAGGAGTATGGGCATCCCCGTCCTGCCCCACTAACATACATCAGTCCTGTCCTGGAGTCACAGCATATAGGGCTGAGAGGGAAGCTCAGTCTCTAGGCACGTTCAGTCCTGGGGCCCCCTCATTAAAACTCATAATGCCAAGTATAGTGGTGGCTGTGATGGAACGTGAATACCTGGCCACTAGAAACCAGAGCTCTTTATTTTTTAATGATCTAAAACAAACTCACCGTCAGATGTCTGTAAAACAACTGTCTTGCTATAAGGGCCAACTCCTGATGAATTAAAAGCTTTGACTCTTGCATTGTAGGTACTGTTGAAATGAAGGCCATCAATTGTGCATAGGGTCTCCTTGCCAACATACACTTCCTGAGCATTCAAAAAGACAGGAACAAAGCTCACCAACTTCTTCCCAACAGAGGGTCTCACAGTCAGACTTTTAAACATAAGCTAAAAGTAAATATTGTTCAATGTTTAGGTGAATTTAGAATTTACATGATTATAGTAAGGATACTTACGTCCAGTGAGGCTCAACATGGAGAAGAGAAGTCAAGAAAAAAAGGTGGAGGCAGCAAGAATGAGACAAAGATTAAAAAGGGAAGTCTAAAATGTATAGTTTTGTTATTTCAAGAGGGCTGTCTCAATCCTCCTATGGGTATTGTTAATATACAGCAATGTAGTTTTGGAGCCTAGATCCAAACCATGAATACAAGGTCTGAAGAGGCTTATTTCTGAAGATAAAAAGAGCTTTGTATGTATCATTTGGCTATCTAACAAGTAAGGGGGTAGAGGGAATGTGATAAATGGCTGCAAAGATCTGACTGGTACAAACACCAAGCAGGATGAGTCGTCATTTGGGGCACAAAGGGGATGGCCAGGAGTAATGGGATGAAATTATGAAAGAGAAAAATCTAAGCAAAATATAAGTGAGATCTGTCAGGCAATGGAAGAGTCTATAGGGATGAAGAAGAAGCCACATTTTTAATTAGAGACTGGATAAAGCATTAGACAATCTCCAATAGGTGAAATTCTTTAATTTTTTGTTTTATTTTTTGGAAATTTTGCATTAGTTCATGTCATCCTGCCCCAGGAAAAGTGGAAGCCCTGGGGTGGGGTGGGGTCCTGCCCTACGGGGCAGTAATGGAGAGTGAGCCTGCCCCACACTCACCCCTCAGTGGTAGCTCTTATCCCGGGGGGATGGGCCCAGCTCCCTACTCCAGGTGTTGTGACCTGTCCCATGGGGTTGCAGCACTGCTCAAGCTTGACTCAGCAGCTCCTCCATCATCATGATGAAGAGGCGGCTGGGCCAAACTTGAGCAGCGCTGCAACCCTGTGGGCCAGGTCACAACGTCCAGAGCAGGGATCCAGGCCCAGACCTGTGGGATAGGCGACACCACTGGAGGGTGTGCTTTTAATTTTATAACTTTGTATACAATCTTTTTTGTTTTATTTTGTGTTATTTCACATTTGTGAAAAACACAGGGTTCTAGAAATAATCCTGCATTGGCAGGATGATGGAATACATGACTATTCTTCCACATCCAATGGCTATGATACTGTGAACTACTTAGATTTATAGTAGCTAATGCCCTAACACAGAGCTTAAGGCCCAGATTCAGCGCAGCACTTGTGTCCTAATTCTGTAAAGTACTTTTTTTTTTTTTAAATGGAGATATCCCATCTCCTAGAACTGGAAGGGACCTTGAAAGGTCATCGAGTCCAGCCCCCTGCCTTCACTAGCAGGACCAAGTACTGATTTTGCTCCAGATCCCGAAGTGGCCCCCTCAAGGATTGAACTCACAACCCTGGGTTTAGCAGGCCAATGCTCAAACCACTGAGCTATCCCTCCCCCCCTTAAGAACCTGAGTAGTCCCACTGAAGTCAGTGAGCCTAAGTAGACATTTAAGTCCATTGCTGAATAGAGAAGGGATTACTTGTGCTTTCAGTAACACAATAAAGGGTCTAAGGCCTTGACTTCTTCTCCAGTCTTTTGATCAGAGACATAAACGTTATTGTGAAGTGGTTTCATTTAGCCCCATATTATAAAATACATTTTGTGTGAGCTAAATTGTGATTTTTGGAGAATTCTTGCTTTCTTGTAGGTTTTTTACAATTGTTTACTGACTGTTTGTGCTCATTCGGATTATGGCACTTTGCAGTGATATGAACTAAAGCCTTTTTTTAAATCCACAGGCCAGATGCTGATAAAGTCTTTGGGGAAATCCAGTTGGCATTATTGATTTAGATATCAAATATCACATACAAAATGTAGGCATATTTCTATTGGAATGGCATTTTCTGAGAAGCAGGCACTTTGTTTTAAAACAGTTAAAGCAGATGGTATTTATATCACAGCAGTGCAAACAAAATTATCCTTTTAGCGGCATCTCAAAAATTGGGATCTTTTTTGGTATATTCTAAATCCACAACTTTGAAATTTTGGGATTCACAAAATCTATCAGAAAGATAGATCTGAATGTGTCCTTGCTTTGAGTATAAGAAAAGGCTGTACTGACCTGAGATCTTATAAATTATTTATTCTGGGGATGAAATTTGTTTTTATTTATTTAGATTTAAATGCTAATTTTAAACAATGCCTAACAAAGACTCTAGGAGCCCTAACACATCATTAATAATACAATAAACTCCCAGAATCATTAAAGTATTAGATAAGTTAAAAAAAGAACTAGATAAGTTCATGGAGGATAGGTCCATCAGTGGCTATTAGCCAGGATGGGCAGGGATGGTGTCCCTAGCCTCTGTTTGCCAGAAGCTGGGAATGGGTGATAGGATGGATCACTTGACAATTACCTGTTCTGCTCATTCCCTCTGGGGCACCTGGCATTGGCCACTGTCAGAAGACAGGATACTGGGCTAGATGGACCTTTGGTCTGACCCAGTATGGCCATTCTTAAAGTAATCATTTCAACAGGCACTCAGCCATATACCTCCAGAAACTTCCTTCTATCCTTTCTTTGTTGTGGGAAGCACGCCCTCAACCCTCTCCAAAACCCTAGCAAACAGATGGCTTTTACAGCATGCCCAGAAGGCCACCTGATTTGGGATATTTCAGATCAAGGAGATGGGGGAGCAAGTTCCCAGAGTCCTGTAGCCAACACAGAGAACCACCCTGCCAGCCACTCTCTCTATTTTATAATGAGGGGAATTCTACTCAGGCACCCTTGCTGACCACAACTGTGACAATATGTCACAGGGAAAGAGAAGATCCCTCAGGTAGGCCAGTCTCAGGTCAGAACCATCACCTGAACTCCACCCAGAGACCAATGGCCAGTCAGTGCAGATCCCAGAGCACTGGTGTCATGCGTTCCCAGCATGATGACTTGCTCAGTAAGCGATTTGCTGTGTTCTGCACCAGCTTCAAGTCGCTGAATGGTTTTAAGGTGCAGCCCTAGATAGAGCACACTGCAATTGTCTAATCTTGAGATAACAAAAGACTAGATAATGGTGGCAAGGTCCACATCTGAGAGGAAACACTGCAGCCTCCAAGCCAGATGCAGATGATAAAAAGCTGGTTGGGTCACTTCTATAATAGGACTGTCAAGCAGAAGCAGGGGTTGTAGATCACCTCTACACTGCAAAAATTAGTAACTAATGGCAGACATACTCTTTCAAAGGGACTCATATAACCTCTGCCATCTACTGCTGCTTCCCCCAGCCCACCATCACCACTTCAGTCTTGTCCGAGTTGAGCTTCAGCCACTCACCCTCTTCCGTGACCTTAGAAAGGATTTTGAGAACCTCACATAAAAGCCAAATTTACCCAGAAAACCGTGAATAATAGAATTGTTCCATGATTGCATTTCTTGACCTGGGTCATTGTTTGCTGGGTGCAGCGGACAGTGAAATCTGCAAAGGAACCTCTCCAATTCCTGGGCCATTTATACAATGGGTTCAACCCCAGCACATTAGAGCAACCTTGGGGCTTCTCTATTCCACTCCAGTTTATTATATCCTGCAAGGGGCTATCAGCCAGCTGAGTACCGCAGTAGTGCCCTGAAATTCCACCTTTCACCCTCACAAGCCCTCTGTCCCAGAGTCCGCAGGAGGGCAGCACAGAAACTGACTACACTAGTTAGAGACACCTCCACGCAAGGGGAATCCTCATCTGGGACGATCCAGCAGCTTTTTGGCCTCATTACACTGCAGAAGCAGGAATGAATTAGAGAATCTGCCCTCCTACATCCATGTCCTTATGGAAGTTTAACAATAACACAGAGAGAACCCAAATAAATGCTGAATGAAGTCCTCACTCGGAATTGGCCGCCATCTCCATCATCAAGTTCCAAGATATACCCTTCCACTGGATTGTGGGTAAAGGGTGGCATCCTCCAGGCCAGTGTCACACTGTTGTTTCGGGTACAACACTTCTCCAGCTGCAGTAACGGGACTGGTGGCACTGTAATGGGAACTGAGTACAGATTAGTGTAATTCTGTCCTTACCCATCAGACTCTGTTGTCAGCAATATGATGATCCATCATTTCCCTCACCTCCTTTTTAATCCCCCCCATTCTGCAAAGTAGCCAAAGTTACTTGGGGATAGAGCTGGTCAGAAAATATGTTTTCTCCATGGAAAACTTCAATTTTTCACCAAAAATTCTGTACCAAAAAATTTATCTGAAAACTGAAAAAAATTCAGCCGATACCAAAATATTTAGGACAAAAAATAAAATTTTGATTTAGAAAATGCTGCCACAGTGCCTCATGGAAATTGTAGTTCAGGCACCACAGACATCCATTCTCCTCAACAGGACAGACTCCCTGCCAGAATACATCACCCATGATGCACAACAGTCTCCCCTCTTAAAGAGAGGAAGTGGGGCATGGGGTGAAGGGGGAGAGTGTCTCATGCCATCGTGCATCATGGGCCTTGTAGTGTGGCCTCGGAGCTCATTCTATAGAAAAGACTGGAGATATGAAACAACCCAACTTCAACATCCATGAGGCACTGTGGCAGCCTACCCAAACTGAAATATTTCTGTATGGGGTTATTTTGTTTTTCAAGGAAAAATTGAAATTTCTCACAGAAAGCAAATTTCACAAAATGTTTTATGTCATCAAAAACCCAATTTTTTGTTTTAAAAAAGTTTTAGGAGAAACGTAGGGATACTATTAAAGAAAAATTGTTTCATTTGAATCTTTTATCTGAATCACTGTGTTCAGGTAGAAAAAGGTGATTTTTACATTACAGGAGTCTGATGTAGGCTTCATCCATTTGGAAACTATAAAAGTGAGGGTGACATTGTGGATGAGGGTATTGTCGGTACTGACTGGGCCAGGAAAATGTTACTGTACCATTGACTGGGCTGATAGTTCAAAATAAAAATAAGCAAAGTGGAACATTCAGCCATGTTTCCATGAGGAGGGATCATGTATGTTATCTGTCTATGCCACTAAACTCAATTTACCTCTCTTGTCTAGCGTCACAGCATCTTTCCATTCTCCTTTCACTGGAATTAGTCAGCAAGAATCCTAATTTAGGGTGAATTTCACCCTTGTACAGAAGACTAATGCACCACTTAAATCCCAGGGCTTTATTGGGGTATAGTGGCGTGGAGGCCTTGGACTGGCCTTCTGCATGGGGCTGAATTATACTATTAGGGCTCAGTTCTGCAAAGTGCTGGGTGCTTCCTGCAAGATGCTGAGCACTTTCAGCAAGGGTGGATGTAGCCTCCTGGGTGCACTATACTGAACTGCTGAGGGAGTAGTAACGGCTAGCAGTAGCACTCTCCACCCTAGCATCGCTACCCTAATCCTGGCCTGGGGAGGAGGAGAGGCCCAAGGAGGTGTAGGGGCTGAAGAGCAAGCCTGCCCCTCACTCATATCACAGTGGCAGCTCCGGTCCCGTGGGTCTGGGTCCAGCTCCATACTCTGGGTGTTGTGACCTGGAGCTGGTACTACAGAGTCCAGAAGAATGAGTGTGGCTGACAGCTTTTAAAACAAACTATTAAAGGTGACCCCTCCCCCAAGTTGTGACATTTTTTGCCTCTTTATGATATTTAAAGAAGACTTGAAAGTATATAATAAATAAAAATCTGCTTGTTTTTTTTACATTAGAGCTTGGGTCTTGTCTTCCCTGGAAGATGATATGGTAACTGGAGTACTAGTGAAATTGTGATATCACAACAGTCAAGAAACTCAATGCTTTGTAATTAGGAGGTGAAGGGAGTTTTAGTTGGACTGTTTAAAACTTGAGGGTTTTTTTTGTTTGTTCTTGTTAACACAGATGTAATGTCAGTGAGTAATGAACAAGTTGGAGAAAAGATGTCTTTGTTAAAGAGTCACACTCCTGCCACTTTAGTTAAAATACGATGTTCACAATACACATCCAGTGAGACACCCGCCCCCCCAGAGCCCCTTCACAAAACAAGGGGAAGATCAGATTCCTGACATTTCTAAGGTTTAAATCTAAGCAAAAAAAATCCCAAAACTTTAAAAGAAAGTTTTCAAGTTTTATCCACTATAAAGAAGTGAAAAAAGCTACAAGCCCAATTAAAAAAAAAATCCTTTGAAGGTCACCTTTAAGCCTTAAACAAGTAGTAATGCCATCTAGTTTTGCTATGTACTGTTAAATAGGTGAGACACAATTCTCACTCCTCCCTCCCCCCAACCCTTCTGGCCCAGGACACCTAGACTTCAATGTATATAACTCATATCTTTTGAGGCAAAGACTTGGGGATCTGCTGTGTTATATCCCAGAAGTGGATGCACTTCAGAATTTGTGAAGTGATCCTTGTGCACCTCCAACCTACCACACATGGACGTTGTGAAACTTAGGGCCATACTATTCTGGAGGATTGCATGGCCACACAGTGGAGCAAAGGGGAGTAAGACAACCTACCTCTCTACCCTTAACTAGGCCCCTGCACAGTCTCCCTGGATTTTGGTTCCAAGCATATAGGAGTAAGCAGTTGCTGCATGCGTGCTGCTAATCTCCTCCTCCCACCCCATGTAGGTAGGTGAGTAGTAAGTAGGAATGGGCAGAGCTTTGGCTCCACTCCCAACCTGAGCTGGCCTGGGTGGAGGGAGCAATGTCCTATGGATAAGAGCCAGTAGCAGATTGCCAGTCTCCTGGAGCAAAGGGGGAAGGGGAAGGAATTGTGCCTCTCTGTCTACAAATAAATGAAAGGGAGGCGAATTATTTAGGGCAGTACATTGGGCTGTACCTAAGAGCAATAACACACACGTTAAAAAAGGTAAATGCAGGCTAAGTATCGGGGGGTGGGGGGGAGGAGAACACTTAGCTGTTAAATTACAGAACTGTCCCATCGCTTGTGCCATTTAAAACTATACTGTAGAAAGCACTAAAAAAAATGCTGCCTTGGCAAGGAGATGGAGCAGATAACCAAACACGTTTTTTCCATCTCTAAATGCTGAGCTTCTATAAATGATGCAGGCAGGACATCCTTTGGGTACTAGATCAACACTGTGTCACTGATGTCTCATGGCATGTTAGAAGCTTAGCACACACAATTCAACTCATCCCATAGCCCCTCCCTCTGTAGGGACAGAGCTGGATGTTCAAAGATTCTATTCTGCTGTTTGTCAACCTGACCAGCGAGCTGTACAATGACTTTTCTCCTAGGCTAGTCAGTAGAGGGATTATATTCAGCAAGACAACAGTACAATGAGAGATTCTGTAAACTTTAGGTCCCCCTAAATTAAATAAACAGAGATAAAACTAGGGATGAAGCCACTCCTTTGGATTTTCCAAATACCAAATTATTTCTTTGTGATGAGTCTGAGTTGTGAGAGACTTGTCAAGATGGGGGGTGGGGGAAAGGAGGGCGTCCCCGTAGGAAGAAGTGAGTGGGATGATCATGAGAGCTGGGTAGGGATGACAGGAGGGAGGTATGCTCCTGGGGGAGGAGAACCAGACAGGTTGATATTTGGAGCCATCAGGGTGGAAAGAGGTGGTTGGTTTTTAAAGCTGTGTCAGGCTGGCAGAGAAGACCGCAGTGGGTGTGAGACTTTCTAAACCAGGGTTGGATATTGGACAGGAGCTACAGCAGAGGCAGTGTGAGTATGAGGGTTATCTCTGGATCACGCCACCTGGCAAGAAGCGGGTGGAGTGGGTAAAAGGGAATGGGGAAAAGATGGACTGCCACATGCCAAAAGTGATTTTAAGCATTTATATCCATTCTTCCTTTTGCAACAAACAAACAAACAAACAAACAAACAAACAAACAAACAAACAAACAAACAAACAAACAGTAATCCCATCACTATTCCAGCATTCAAGAACAAATCAAACCTGGATTAGATCTCTGTCCATGTCTTTAGTGAAAACAGAGAGGATGTGATGTACAGACACAGCTAGTCATGGAGAAGGGTAGGGATTTCAGTCCATGGCAATCAGAAAATATAATGGAGGGAAGAGGACGGAGGTGAAGGAAAGAAATGTGGGCTAAATCAAAATGCCACCAAATATTAGAAACTGTGCATGTCTTTCAGTGGATCAACATATCTCCTGGAGTGTTGAGGTATTGCTAACAGGCTAGCAAAGAGTCACTCCTGTCACTCATCGTTACAGTACCACACTTGTGCTTTCTGTGCAGTAAATCTGCAACGGATTCCATTTCTCAATGTTAAAGAAACTCTGCCTGATCATTATTTACCGAGATTAGTTTTGGATCTGAGGCTTATCCTTAGACCACCAGTAAGATATATGCACAAGTCACCACCAGGGCTAATTTAATACAATCTGATTTCATTTTCATTATGCTTTGTCTAACGCAGTGAATCAGTGTTTGTTTATGAGCAGGCATTCACCTCCCACTGACCTGTGCAAGCTCAGTGATGTTGAATGAGGTGAGGCCAGAGGTTTGAAAAAAGATTTCAGAAATTCAGACAACAAGTGCTGATGACAATATTCCATTCCTCTCGGGTGAAGTTACCCCTCGCAGTTCTCCCCTTCCTCCCGTCCCACCTCTCAGCTTCCTTATTTAAACATGGACAACTTCCTCCAGTTTCCAATCTTCAGATACCAGGGTGAAAATAAACATATAGGAAAAAACAACTTGCAGTTAAAAGGGTCAGTCTGGAACTTTTTCCCTTGGGATTGTACCCGATCTCCCATTGTGGTTTAGCTCTGAAAGTCATTAAAGCGCATTCTGAATCTGCTGTTGCCAGACCAAACAACATAGAGAGTTGGTAGAATTTCCATATGACACCAAAACAGTTGGCAAAGATTGATTGCTATCTGAGGCAATGTGGTGAATGGGACTGGAAAAAGAGGAGCTGGTTTCAGGAGGGGCATATATTTTTGTGAGACTACTGGTTCAGGAATGCAAGCCTAGGGGTTGCTCTGTATTTAGCTTATGGATAAATAGCAAAGCCTCAACATGTTATGCTGGTTTCCCAGTTATTTATAAAGCTCTGTTTCTTACCACTCTGGTTTTTGGCTAGTGAAACGTGGCCACTTATTTTGAAATAATTACTTCCATTTCTACATGCAGGGCCATCTGGATAGGGGGCTCTTCAGATTCTCAATATGTGAATGAGATGATAGTGTAAAGTTGGTTTTAAATGTTTTAGGCACTAAGGAATCAGTGGGGAAGGGAGAGACTTTACAGAAGGAATGAGCGTCCACGTTACCACCAGCTTGCTGACACAGAAAAGTTTTTTGGGACAAGACAACACATACTGGGGCAGGCTGGACACGGACAGATGTCAGGAATACAAAGGTACCTTTCCATCTGGTATGGAATGGAAATGAACTGGGGGAGAAAAGGGTTGAGATCACAAAAATAAAGCCCAGTAAATACCAACATGTCTATACGTCAATCACAGGGTGTGGCTGCAGCTCAAGTGCACATACTTGAACTAGCTTTAATCTAGCTAGCTTGGGACCTGGAGAGCCTGCAGCAGGGTGCATTTCAGTGCTGGCTACCACTGTCAGTCCTTATCCAGGGTGCAGTGTGGGCTTCTTCAGCCCATGTTGAGGTGCACGCTGCACAGATTCACTGCTCAGAACCCGAAGTAGCTAGATTATAGCTAGCTTGGGTATGTCTACTTGAGCTGAGTCACACCCCGTGATTGCAGTATAAACATACCCTATAAGGTTAAATAGAAATAAGTACACAGCCAAAAATTGTATTTATTTATATATGTCTCTCTATATGTCAAACAATTCCTATCTTCCTGTGATTGTACATTTATTTAGAACGAGAATATGGCTTGTACTACTTGATCACACAGCATAAGGGGAAGTAAGAGCCTTCCCTATGCCCCTGAAAGGGCTAGCTGGTCCTTGGGTACAGGTCCCAAGGAGAAAGCAGGTGCTACATGTCCACTATTCCCCACCAATGCAGGTGGGCAGAGAATGGGCACAGCCTTGGTTCTACCCTCCAAATGCACACGTGAGTGGAGGTGACATGGCCTAGGGCGGGAGGGAAGGGAGAGTGATTTTCTGCAGGTTGTAAATTAAAAAAATAATGAATGTCTGGAAGCCAAAAATCTAAGGTGTTCCCATCTCAGGTACTCTCTGGGTTGCTTAGCTATTTGGAATGCATGAGTGGCTTAGTTAAATTCATTATTAGTTGTTCAGGGGAGACTATAAACCACTATTAAATTTAGATTGATTAAAACACCAGTCTAAGATGACAACTGACACCTCTGCAGATGACACTCAGAGAGGCTTTCTCACTTACATTTTAAATCTCATGCCTTGTGCTCTCGCTTCTATTTTTCTTGCTGTTAAATTTTAAAAGGGGCAATTTACTGATGTTTTTAGAGTGGCTTCATTAATATAACCCATTTATGCTGAGATGCAATCCCCTCTCAAAGAGCTTATTTTGGCCTTTAACTATTTATCTGAATTCAACAATTTCCATTGTTTCTCCAAGGATTTATCTGTCAAATTAGCCACTCTGTTCACATTAGCTTGCGCATGTTTCAGTTCAGAACTAAGCCTACAGAGAACAGATAAATTACTAGACGAACATGAATCCTCATGTGTATGGACTGCTCTTGTGGAATCAGAGAAAAACAAAATTATTTTCAACCCATCCAATACTTTCTGGTAGACTCTTCCGTGTCTTCCACACGTATCCTTAGGTCTGGATTCAAAGCCTATTGAAGTCAAAGGAAACACTCCCATCGATCTCGATGGGCTTTAGATCAGGCCCCTACAGAATGTCTATCTGTCCATATACATCCAGTTTGGATGTGCCTGTCTCCCTGGTATCTAAGCTCCAAGCACAACATTTAAAATTGCATTACACTGTTTTTTGCAAATGGCAACTATTCCCTACCAGCTCCTACTTTCAGCCATTTTTAGCTTAACTTCCTCCCCCCACCACCCTTCCTTTTGTTCTCCCTTCCCTGCCCACAGGAAACATCACCAGGCTGCTCTTCTGTCATTGTTATTGAGGGAGGCCTTGTACAAATGATGGGTTTTGCAATTTGTCCTTTAGACAGTCAGGCTTGGGCTTATCCTGATCTTTGGTGTTAAGGAATTCCATAGCCAATGACCTTCCATGGTAATTTCTTGCCCATACCTCCAAAAGCTTTATCTTGGGCTCTGGCAACTGAGTATAACTATCATAGTGGTTCTGCCTTACTGATGGCTTGTCTTCATTACTACACTAAATCGGTGCCGGTAGCATGTCTGATGAAGACACATTATGCTGATGGGAGAGCGCTCTCTCATTGACACCACCTAATTACGCCACCTCAACAAGAGGCAGAAGCTATGACACCGCTGTAAGTTGAGTTAAGTTACATTACTCAGGGTAGTGTTTTTTTCACACCCTTGAGCAACGTAACTTACATCAACTTAAGCGGTAGTGTAGACAAGCCCTGAGAGTAAGAAGTGACTCATTTGCCACTGATGATACTCTTGCTGACACGTTGGTAATTAGAGTTGGTTGAAAATTTTTCAATGAAACTGTTTTCTGTCAAAAAAAAAAAAAAAGCTGTTTTGTCAAAACCTAAAACGTTTTGTGGAAATGGATCAGTTTTGACAAAAGTTTGAGAGTGGGAGAAAGAGAGAGAGCACGAGCAAGTTCACTCAGAGTAGCCAATAGCGTGGTGGTTAGGGCACTTATCTAGGATATGGAAGACTGGGATTCAAGTCAATGTCCTAATCACTGGGTTATATAGTCAGTCTTGTGCTTTCTCTCTTGTTGAAACTGTTCCACCTTGTATAAATCATTCAATATCAATTGCTCCAGAGTGATACTGACTATATAGCCCAGTGGGTAGGGCACTGACCCAGTTGTGACTCAGACAGAGCAGGGACTTGAACCTGAGTCTCCCACATCCCAGCCTATTGGCTCTTCAGGGCTGGCCTCTTGCCCATGTTTTCACAATAAAATTTTGAAACCTCAACCTTGCCCATAAAAGGCAATTGTGGTTTTCCACCCAGCCCTATCGGCAATTCATTTTTAATTAACTGTATTAAACTTGTTAATGCTACACAAAGGAGCTAAGTTGTTTTCAAGTTCATATTGTCAAGACACCAATGTCTTCACCACCTTCAAAACAGACAGATGGTCGTTGTCTGAAACTTTTATCTTTTCAAATCTTTAACTTCACCTAATTTCACTGTCTGAGCTTGTCTGGGTCACTTGAGGTGAGGTGAAAGCACTCCTTGGTAAATTCATGTTTGATTAAGAGAAGACAAAAATAACTATCCATACATTGCAACTAGTTTCTCTTTCTCCCCACCTTCCTTCACCTCCCCCTCTACAGCACTGTTTCAAAGCAGACATGAAAAATAAAATAAAAATCAAATCACAAAAGCTCACCCCTACATTTCATCTGAATAAAATCCAGCTGGTGAATTGACTGTAGTAAAGGTTCACTATCCAGAGTCAGGTCAAATTCAGCTGATACTTTTGGTTCCAAGGCTCCTTTGACCCACTGTTCCTGAGACACCTGAACACGTTTGATTAAAGCATCTGAAATCTTAAAAAGAACATTAGGTTTTTAGTGAAACTGCAAATGCAAAAATAGACCAGAATAAGTTAGAAGTGACAGACCTGAATGACTATGCTATAGCATACAAGGTGACTGTGAGCCTCATGGCCTAATTGAAGCAGGGCACATGGTAATTTTGCTGTGAGTTCCATGTGTGTTGCATCTTCCCGTGTTGTCTTTTCAAAGCAAATCCCCTGTGAGAGTTGAAAAAGTTAGTTTTCTTTGAAAAGAAGCTTTTTGGAACAGGGCTGGGGATGTATCTTAACTGCCTGAGAGCCATACAGAAAGCGGTGTTTCCTCTCTGATCTACACAGCAGCTGTCTTGATGTCTCGTTTCATCTCCGTGAACTGAAGGGAGAAGATTTCTGACACTAGAAAGCTTTTTAATTTAGCAAAGTCTAGCAGACAGAAATTGAAGCTAGTTTCAATTCAAACTGGAAATAAGGTGCCCATTTTTAACAGTGAGGGGAATTAACCATTGGAACAGCTCTCCAAAGGATGAGGTTGATTCTCCATTAAATTAAGACTGGATGCCACTCTTAAAGCTCTGCTCTAGTTCAACCACAAGCTATTAGGGCTTGATGAATACTGCCAAGATAAGTATTGACCCCCTTCTGTTGGGTTTGTAATGGTAACCATGAAAAGATCTTATAATTTTCAGAAACAACTTAATAAATCCATATTGAATGGCAAACCAGAGAAAGTCAGAAGAAAGCATGTCAGTATGGGGATTTCATTATAATAGCTGAGCCTAACAGATAGTAACTCTTTACACTTGGCAAAGGGAGGAAGATGACACCTGCTGGTCACCATGTTTTCTTTTGTAATTGACCCAGGATCATCCCCCAAATCCTTATTCAGCTATTATTTAGTTCTTGCGGAGGCAAAACTCCAATAGGCCAAATCCTGAGACAAGGAAACTGCAGACGTTCAGAACCTCTCAGAGTTTGGCACATAGCTTCAGTGAAGACTGAGTAAGGATTTCAGATTTAGCGCTATTAAAATACCATGGTAAATGGTAGTTTGGATCAAAGAAACTATTTGGACTTTTCCATGTGTTAATTTGGGGTCAGACTGTGCTATAGACTAATTGCCCATGTGGGGGTACCTGTAACCCCCATCCTTTATACCCCTACATGGGTTATCTGGGAGCAGAAGAAAGAATAAAACTGAGGCTTCTGATATCGGAGATAAAAATACTAGCCACTCAATCATATTACCTTTCAAGCAGAATGCACCAAATATGTGCTTTGGTTTTCCTGTCTCCAAACATTACATCATGTTTCTTTCCCAGAGTCAGGGATAGAACCAAGCATCCTCATCTCTAATATTAACTGCTATCTAGTGAAGAGCTGTGTAATCCACTGTCAAGGCCACCTTTAGAGACTGGTCTACAGAGAGAACAGTAATTACATCTGTAGTTCAAGTGGTAAAGGTCTGTGCCCAGGATCTAGAACTCCAGGGTTCTATCCTGATGATGCCTCAGATTAGGGGACTTTATGGCTGCATGTGACAAGAATTTGATTTTCCAGTTTTCATTTTTAAAAGTGGTTTAATTAATTCACATAGTGAGAAAATAATCCTTTAAACCAGCTGTTCTTAAACTTTAGCAACCCGAGGACCCCCATTTTGATTTAAAAGTTTTCACAGACCCCTCCCCCCCAAATCCTCTGCTCAACCCAGGCCCCGCCCCCACTCCACCCCTTCCCCCAAGGACCCACCCTCTTCCCAGCCCCACTCCACCCCTGCCCCTCCTCTTCTCCACTTCTTTCTGCCTCCTCCCTTGAGCATGCCCCATCCCCGCTCTTTCCCCTCCCTCCCAGCACCTCCTGCATGCCACTGAACAGCTGTTCCCCTGCGTGCAGGAGGCACTGGGAGGGAGGGGGAGGAGTTGAACAGCGGGGCTGGTGGACCCCCTGGAGTACCTTCGCAGACCCCAGTTTGAGAAATGCTGCTTTAAATGAAGTCTCATAATCTAGAAAACATCATCATATGTAAATTAGGTTTGACATGCAACAAGATAGGTGTTCCATATCTGCGTCAAAATTGGCACTCATTTTGCACTCACACACTTGGCAGGTTTGACAGTTGAGAGATATGGTGCCAGGAAGGGGACATATCAGGAGCAAGCTGGAGGCTTGGTAATATCAATGGTGTAAGGTCTCTGGGCTGCTCTAATTAACTGACACTAAGACTGGGTTGGTGCAAAAATCAGGAAGCCATAACCAGTTCCCTGGTGGTCCCCATTCCACTGCAAAGAGAGCAGGCTGGGCAAAGGGGAAAATTGATCTTCCATGTCCATTCAAATCTTGGCCTCTGCTTAAACTACCAACAAGAGTACCAATTATGTTGGAGTTTTTTGGGGTGATGCAGATCCTTGTCTATTGGGAAATGCATAGATGCACCAAAATCATTTCATATTAGCCACCAAATTGTAATAATTTCTAGGTATTATATTGACAAGGACAGAATGTGAACCTGCAGCTGACAGACTCCATAGCCCATTTCCAAGCCATTAAGCTAAACACTCCACCATAGCAAGTTTTACATTCCAGTTTAATCTTTTTGTTTCTTCACAAGAGTAAAAAAGAAAATACCTGTAAAAAACCAGAGGGATCATTTTCTTTGATTACTTCCAGACAGTATTCCATAAGCCCTGTTGACTGACGTAGCTTCAGAGTACAGTGATTTATTTGGTCCCAAACAACCTGCAAATGAAAATCTCAGTATATTTATGATAATCGTCTCAGCCTTCACTGAATCAAGTAAATTATTTCAGAAGCAGCAGCAGTGAATGGAAGAGAGTGTTAAAGCTATGTTTGTTTTAGCTGTCATATGGGTATTACCCCATCTGCATCAGCTACACTTCTTTGCTCTGTATTGTAAATACTGATAATTAGTTTGGCAAAATGTCATGTACAGGGAATCTCAATTATCAGAGCAGATTAAGTGTTGAATACCCAAGTCTGCTCATGGCTGAAGGAGTTAGGATCAAATGGGTGTAGAATTTGTTCACTGCACATGCAATCACCCTTCCATTAAAATTTGAGCTTTTAATAACAAAATAATTTAAACCCAATATATTAAACAGGATAACTATGAGGACTTCTGGTCCATCTATATTCTATCATTCCCTTCATAATTTACAGTAGACCCTTGATCATCCAGAGGAAAAGAATAAGAAAGGCACATCTCTCATTTTTCCACAATTTTGGACTTGTTTCTGCTCTCATCAGGAGTAAGTCCACTGCAGTCTATGGAGTTATTCAAGGTAAAAATGGTGTAAGTGAGAGGAGAATCAGGCCTTTTAGTGGGACACCATAAATTTAGGAAGTTGTGAGAGTGGGGTTCCCGGAACACCGAGCTGAAGCAGTCTGTCCATTCCCTCTACATTGTGTTAATCAGACAATAGAAAAAAAATCTAAAATATTTGTAATGCACCCAGAACTTGTAATATCTTCAAATACAGAGCTATGAGCTGCATGAAATTTCACCACAAAGAACCCTACTAACCACCACTCCAATCAGCCAGTTACATTTTCTCTTTCCTTCCCTTTTCTCTTATTTCTCTTGAGAAGAGAGTGAAAGAGGATCTGAGGATGTCTCTCACAGACACTTGAGATTCTGAAGGTTTAAAAAAATGGACTAAATCCTGAAATTTTTATTCAGTCCTTTCCTGAACAAGATTGCTTCCACTTGGTCAAAACCAGAGAGAGGTAATGAGTGCCTGAACTGCCCGTTGATTTCAGTGGGATCAGTTGCGATTACTTAGCACCTGTCAGGATTTGACCCATAAACTTCAATAAGAGTATTGCCTAAAGTTTGAAGCACCAATTCAGCAAGTTACTTAAGCACATGCCTAACTTTAAACACATGAATAATTCCATTGAAGTCATGCTTATGTATCTTGTTAAACTGGGGCCTGAATAAGGACTTCAAGATCTGGTCAATGGAAATTTTAACTGAATAAGGGCTTCAGGACTTAGCCTAATGTGCATTAACTCTAGGCTAAAGAGACACTTCAATAGAAATATTTGTAGCCACACTCTCTGGAATGCTTGTAACTCATAATAGTTGTGCTCACCTTTAATTTGTGCTCACGCTCTTTGGTAACTTTTGTGAGCAGTTTTGCCTTTTGACGAGTTAATGCATCAACCAGGGCATCACACTGAGCAACCAGACAAGCTTCATAATCCAACCCATTTTCCTAGAAGAAGGTGACAATCATATTCATCTATGCAAATGAATTTTTTACAGTAAAAGCTGTTATTTACCCAAACCAATATACAAGTTTTACATTTAGAAAATGTTTCCTTTCAAGAGTTTGGCATGTCATGTTTCCTTTGTGATTCCATTACATATTGCACTGTTAACAACTGCTGACTATAAAATGCCTTAAGGGACACTGTCAAGATGATCATGCTACAAAATTGATTTATTGTAACCCCTTAATATACTAGCATTTTCCAGACAAATGAATGTGTGGGAGTCTCTATGTAGTCTTAAAATATTGTTCCAAATTCTGCTCTCAGTTACCTCACTGAAATTCCTCTGAAATCAGGGGAGTTGCACCATAGTAACTTGAGCAGAATGGAGTCCACAGACTGATCCCAAGGGGAATAAACCAAGAATAAATATAATTCTTGAGACTGTGGTATATTGCCTCAAGATGAAGGCGGAGGGTAATAGAACAATGAAAGGAACAATTTTAACCTGAGCACTTTTTTTTTGAGCTTCTTGTAGTTAGCACATGCTTACATCTTCCCTGGAAACATGAATTTGGTTAGCCTTTTAAAAATAATACACTGTAGGTTTTAGTCACATAGCAGTAGAATTCACTTCTGTACAGAGGACCAGCAGAAGGCCTATGCAGAGCTTAAGTGGGATTTAAATAGCACTAGGCTTTGGGCTGGTCCTCTGCACACAGGTGAATTTCACTCCCATGGAATTCACAACATAAGACTGGTTTAAATGGAAGTCATCATACAAGCTAAGCAGCTGCTCTTGAGGAGGGGGAAGGAAGCCTTCATGCTCCTGTTTCCAGGAGACATTGGGCTGTCTAACCAGCTTCTCCCCAAATCCCAGTTCAGCACTTAAGCTTTAGTGTGCTTAACTTTAAGCATGTGCTTAAATCCTATTTAAATCAATGTCTCACTCTGTTTCCCCCTTGAATTATATTTTACTAATCTGATTTGTCCACTTGGCCAAAATTAGATTTGTCCTATTGCCTTCCTAAAGGTTGGAGGACAATTCTCTACATTTGATATATTTCAGAGTAGCAGCCGTGTTAGTCTGTATCCGCAAAAAGAACAGGAGTACTTGTGGCACCTTAGAGACTAACAAATTTATTAGAGCATAAGCTTTCGTGGATGCATATGCATCC